ACCTCATCATCCTCATCTGAGAGCTCATGCCCTTCTTCACTCAGGCTGTAATCTTCTGAGTCAAGAGACTCAACTTCAAATTCTACACTAAATTGATCGGAACCCGAATCCTGATCCAACCAATCACCTGAATGTTCACTTACACCATCATCAAGGTCCTATGGAGAAAGAATAAAGTGAACTTAAATACATTGCCTCTGGGCCTCAGTAAGAGCTTCCTAAATTCATCCTGTGCCACTATTTCCTCCTCCTGTTCATGATGCACAGACTGGCTCAAGGTTAAGGTTCAAGGTTATTACATTAATATTGAATCTTCCCTGCTCAAAATTCTGCTACATGAAGGAAAAAGGTCAAAGGCCCTTAGCACTGAAGTTACCATTTTGAAATGCCCCAGCTAAACACACCTTCTATCCTCCTCACCCCCACTCCACCCAGACCGAGTTCCCTAATAATCCATCCTACACTAACTTTCCCTCCCTAAGATAATATGAGTTCCTAATTCTCTGGCTACGGTTCTGACAATACCACGTTTAATGACCTTTCCTACTTATACGATTATTGATTATATACACACCTATTAATTATAAGAAGCATAACTGCAAGCTTCTCCTATTAAATACAAGACAGCTAAGGTTTACCTTAATCACACTGTTAGCATGCCAGAATGCTAGTTACGACACAAATACAAATCTGGTATTTGGGTTTTTTGAGACATGATCTTCCTATGTAGCCCTGGATGGCCTAGAACTTGATATGTAGACCATACTTGGTTGTTAACTCAGAGAGCTCTGCCTGTTTCTGCTTCCTGAATGCTGGGATGAAAAGACTGTGCTATCAACCCAGCAATGGTATATTTGTTTTGAAAAAAACTTTGAGAATAACTTGATTTGAAAAGCTTCAAGATAAATTTTTAAATTAAAAAAAAAATTCTATGTATTTTCAACTAGCCTCTCATTTTAGGATTTAGTAACTCACAGCTTCAGAACCTAATGTCTGTCTATGCTAAGGGTACGAAGCATACACATACCAAGGCTACAATGTGCTGAATCAAGAGATCAACTTCAAGGCCAGGTATGGTGGCACACACCTTTAATCCCAGCACTTCCAGCAGAGGAAGAGGCAAGAAGATCTCTGTGAGTTCAAGACCAGCCTGGTCTACAGAGGACAGCCAAGAGCCAGAACTAAATAGAGAGACCCAGTCTCAAAACAACATAAAAAAGAGATTCAACTTCAAATTCTACAGTAAATTGATCAGAAACTGGATCCTAATCTATAACTGAGAAAAATGCATGACTCTAAGAGTCAGAATACAGGCATTCTCAATGTGATGCCAAAAGCTGTTGAACTTCAGACACATCATTTAACTTCTAGAGAATACAGTCCCTTGAAATATGAAAGGAGTCTGAATTAATATAATCCACAAAAATAAAGTATATTATTTTATAAATTTCTAAGTGAAGACTTAAAGTGATGTTGATAAAACAGTAGAAAAAGCAACTCATTGCCGGGTGGCGGTGGCGCACGCCTTTAATCCCAGCACTCGGGAGGCAGAGGCAGGTGGATCTCTGTGAGTTCGAGGCCAGCCTGGGCTACCAAGTAAGTTCCAGGAAAGGCGCAAAGCTACACAGAGAAACCCTGTCTCAAAAAAAAAAAAAAAAAAAAAAAGGAAAGAAAGAAAGAAAAAAAGAAAAAGCAACTCATCAAGAACTAGCTCTTGGGCTGGAGAGATGGCTAGGAGGTTAAGAGCACCGACTGCTCTTCCAGAGGTCCTGAGTTCAATTCCCAGCACCCACATGGTGGCTCACAACCATCTGTAATGAGATCTGGCGCCCTCCTCTGTATACATAATGAATAAATAAATCTTTAAAAAGAAAAAAAACAAACTAGCTCTAATTCCTAGGGAAATTCCACTGACACAGGTTAGGACAGTCAGTCCCATCTCTAGTGACCCAACAGTGTTCCTTCACTCAACTCTCTGGAATCAGACCTACCTTCTGCAGCAGTGCTCTGCAAGCTCTATCAGAACACCAGTGCATCTTTATAAATGACTCTCTCCTGAACAAAGCCATGCCTGTGTGTGCTACAGATCTATGGTTGCTTTTCCACATTAACAAGACCTAACAGGCCAGGCAGTGGTGGCGCACGCCTTTAATCCCAGCACTTGGGAGGCAGAGCCAGGCAGGATCTCTGAGTTTGAGGCCAGCCTGGGCTACAGAGCAAGATCCAGGACAGGCACCAAAACTACAGAGAAACCCTGTCTCGAAAAACAAAACAAAAAAATAAATAAAATAAAGAAGACCTAACAGGGGGCTGGAGAGATGGCTCAGAGGTTAAGAGCACTGGCTGTTCTTCCAGAGATCCTAAGTTAAATTCCCAGCATCACACGGTGGCTCACAACCATCTGTAATATCTGGTGCCCTCTCCTGGCCTGTAGGCATAGATGCAGACCAAACACCTTCAAAAACAAAACAAAAAAGACGACCTAACGGACCAAAGCAGACCAGAACTAGAAGGTTAACTCTATGGTAGTTGACAACCCTTTGGTTCTACAGTATCATGAAAACTGCAACACTGCTGGGAGCCAGAGACAGCTCTCATGGGTGACGATGCCAAGACTGAGGTGCTGAGTTCTCTATCCCTGGAACCTACATGGTGAAAGGAGGAAATGGATTTCCTCAAGCTGTCCTCTGTCCTCCTTACACTCTCACAAATGCACTGTGGCAGACAGAAACACCCACACACATACACAAATGTGTTTTTTTCAAATGCAATGTCGAAAGCCATTTTGAAGCCAGGTACTTGGGAGACAGAAGCAGGTGGATCTCTGAGTTTGAGGCCAGCCTGGTCTACAAAGAGAGTTCTAGGACAGTCAGGGCTACACAGAGAAACCCTGTCTCAAATCCAACCCTTCCCTCACCCCACCCCACCCCAAAAAACCAAGTTGTTTTGAAAAGTGTGAGCTAAGGGGCAACACATAAGTAAAAAGGCATCACAGAAATATGTTTTGTCAGAGCTGGAGAGATGGCTCAGCTGTGAAGAGCACTGGCTGCTCTTCCATAGGACCCAGGTTCAATTTCCAGCACCCACACGGCAGCTCACAACTGTCTGTAACTCTAAGATTTGACACCCTCACACAGACGTACATTCAAGTAAAACACCAATGCACATAAAATAAAAAAATTTTTTAAATGTTTTATTTGTCTTATTTCAAATGTGTTTAGTTGTAGGAACCTTTAACAAATTATTTAACAATAGTTTTTCCTGTAAATGGAGGGTGAGACTGCTGAGATTAACATTTGAATATAAGGGAAGTTAAAACAAAGGAAAAAATAGTCCTATTAAAAGCATTCTCATTTAAGAAATTTAAGCTTAATCAAATTTTAACTTGATTTTTATAAGAATACACACACAAGAAATTTAAGCTTAATTAAATTTTTAACTTGATTTTTATAAGAATACAAACAAACAAACACACACACACACACACCCCTACAGAAAAAAAAACTTCTATTTTGAGAATAGGCCATGTTGTAAGCAAACAGACTCTATTAAATTAGCTAGCGCGCGCGCGCGCACACACACACACAGAGAGAGAGAGAGAGAGAGACAGAGACAGAGACTCTGAGATTGAAGAACATACAGGAAGTAGGGTAGAAAGACTCTGAGAGTCAAAGGTTGGGGGAAGAGCTGGGAACAGTGCCTCTGGACTTGACACAGTCTATGCACCACATATTGAAGACTGTGGCTGCCTGTCAAAAGTGAAGCTGGTCAACAATCCAGCATGGATGGGGTGGGCGCTTACAGGGCCTAACACCTCACTGAGGAACTACTAGCAGCCGATGGCTTCTGGGGAAAGAGCAAGAGGGTAATTAACTGTCTTCAGGAGTGTGCTCCAATGGAAGACCCACTACCTATGTGCATATGGCTAAACAAGTTGTATCCAAAGCATGTGGGCAGAGATACGGGGATGGGTGGAGGTAAATACAATTAAAAACACTGCATACACATACGAAAACTCTCAAAGAATTAAAAGTATTAAATAAAAAATTTTTTAAAAAGGAGCTGGAGGATAGCTCAGCTGTTAAAAGAACACGAACACACACCAGTCTTGCAGTTCAGTTCCCATCACCCACTTTAGTCGCTTTCAACTACGCCAGGGGGATCTGGCATCCTCTTCTGGACTCGAGGGCACCTGCACTCACTTGTGCCTACACTCACACACAGAATTAAAAACAGTGACCAAGAGACGCTGCCATATTAACTAGTGTGGTGGTTTGGATGAGATGTCTCCAACAGTCTTGGGCATTTGATTACTTGGTACCCAGTGGGTGGCACTGTTTGGGAAGACTGAGGAGGTGCAGCCTTACTGCAAGTATGTCACTGAGGGAGAGCTTTGAGATTTAAAAAGCCTTGCCAATTTCCAGTTTAGTCTTCCTGCTTCATGCTTGTTGTTAAGGATGCAAATTCTCAACTTCTTCCTCCAAAAACCATGCCTACCTCCTGCCTCACCTCCCCACCATGATGGATCCTTACCCCTCTGGAATGGTAAGCCAAAATAAGCTCCTTCTTGGGTAAGTTGCCTTAGTCATGATACTTTATCACAGCAACAAAAAAGAAACTAATACACCAAGGATGCACTTTAAAAAAAAAATTTTTTTTAAAGGTTAAGCATCCTTACAGCTAAATAGAGGTTTGCCCAGCATGTGGAAGGCCCTGGGTTGGGTGCATGGTTCAATGTCCAAGACTACATTTTAAAAACAAACAAACAACTCTTTTAAAAATTTGTCTTGTTATTTTTTGTGTATGTATGGGTGTGTTGACTGCACGTATGTGCATGCGCCATGTGTATGCTCGGTGCCTGCAGAAGTCAGACAAGGTCATCTGATCCTCTGGAAATGGGGTTACAGATGACTGTTAGCCATGGATGCTGGAAACTGAACTTAGGTCCTCTGGAAGAGCAGCAAGTGCTCTTCACTATTGATTATCTCTCCAGTCTCCACCTCTCCCCACCCCTTTTGGGGGGGGAACACGACTTTTACTGCAGCTCAACTTTGAACAAATAAATCAACATGGTCTGAGTTTAATTTCTGTCATACACAGATCTAGAAATCAGAGGCCTATTTATTAATCAGCTCTGTGAAACATAGGTTTACACATGGACAGTGAGTACCGGCACTGCCTTTACTGGTACAGAGCTCCAACTAAGCTAAACTTCCCAACTTGGAAAGCCGTCTTTAGTGGGGCACATGAAGTTTCCACAGCAATTTCCAGGCCAGCCAGGGTTACAGTGAATCCCTGTCTTTAAATATTCGAGATGGGTTGGGGGTATACAATGGTACAGTGCTTGCCTAGCGTGTGCTGTGTGTTTGATCCTTGGCAAGGAAAGCAAACTTGCCTTAGATGTCTACAGTACATGACTGAGCTGAATTTCCGGGCTCCTTCTTGTATTTAAAAAGTCACTTCTAAATGTTCAGATGACTGTATACTCCAGCACACTTGAGCTGACTACTAGTACAGGGGTCCACAAAGGTTCTCTCACATAGAGATGACATCAGTAATGATGGAATCTGTGTTCATTTTTCCAGGAGCAGGGCTACTCAAATCTCCCACCTTTATCTCCAAACCTAGAGCTACAAGCAGGGAGCTCCACATAGCTTTAAAATTACAATTTACCACTGTGTTCAGCAACAATCTCATATCAAACACGGGCATTTGTTATTGATATATGTTTATTTATTATAAAACTAAAGAACAACTATAAGATAAAAACCTGAAGTGGATGGCAAGCTATTGCTGAAAAAGCCCCATCACCACCGCTACCTGGCTCAACAAGGATGAGCATCCCTCTGCTCTGCCTCCTCTCTCGGTCACATCCATCCCCAATGAATAACTCGCTGCTTGGACCAAAAAGCTCTTCTCAACTTGCTAGTGGACCAGTGACAAAATTCCTGCAACAGGCATTCTATTTATAAGCTTATTAGGACTTTAAGGACTACATTTTTAAAAAACCTTTTTTTTCCCCTAATTTAAAACCAAAACACGGGGCTGGAGAGATGGCTCAGAGGTTAAGAACACTGACTGCTCTTCCAGAGGTCCTGAGTTCAATTCCCAGCAACCACATGGTGCCTCACAACCATCTGTAATGAGATATGGCACCCTCTTCTGTGTACATAATAAATAAATAAGTCTAAAAATAAAATAAAATAAAACCAAAACACAGGACTGGAGAGATGACTCAGGGGTTTAGGGCATTCGTTGCTCTTGCAGATGACCCAGGTTCCATTCCCTGCACCCAGACAGGCTCACAACCATCCATACAACAGTCCAGGGAATTCAACACCCTCTTCTGGCCTTCAGGACACTGCATGCACATGAAACATTCTGGCTGACAAAACCCTTACATAAAAAAAATAAGCCTGGTGGTGGTGGTGGTGGTGCACGCCTTAACCCCAGCACTTGGGAAGCAGAGACAGGCAGATCTCTAAGTTCAAGGCCAGCCTGCTCTACAAACCAAGTTCCAGGACAGCCAGAGCTGTTGCAGAGAAACTGTCTCCCAAAAACATACATACATAAGTAAATAAATAAAACAAATGAGATAAATTCTAAATCATCAGCACCAGAGGCCTACCTGGTTTGAGGGGGTCTCTGTGGACTCACTGCTGCTGCTTCTTTCACAGCATATCTCCCGTAACACACACAGAGCCAGGCTTTCATCAAAGGAGAGGGACCTGTGGCGCTTCCTCTGTCGCTCACCAGGTAGTTCATCTGCGTTTTCTTCTATGTTAAGGGAAAATGGGTAGTTAAATCCTTGCACTGTGCTGATTTAGAAACTGAAATGTCTTCAGTACCTATTTACCTATTTGTAACATTTGCTTGTTTTTTCAAGACAGGGTTTCTCTGTGTAGCTTTGGTGCCTGTATTGGATCTCACTCTGTAGACCAGGATGGCCTCAAACTCACAAAGATCCACCTGGCTCTGCCTCCCGAGTGCTGGGATTAAAGGCATGCGCCACTGCCGCCTGGCTACAAAATTTAATTTCAGTTAATTTAAACAGAAAGTCAACCATTTATATTCCAAAAGTCAAATGTTCCACTGGATCTGTCCAACTAAGTACACTTCAAAGCTTCAAATCTTTGGGGCTGGAGAGATGGCTCAGTGGTTGAGAGCACTGACTGCTCTTCCAGAGAACCTGGGTTCAATCCCCAACACCCACATGGCAGCTCACAACTGCCTGTAACTGTAAGATCCAACATCTTCACACAGTCATACATACAGGCAAAACACCAATAAAGTTAAAAAAAAAAAAAAAAAAAAA